ATCGTTAAGGTTCTCAGGTGAGGTAGAGATATTGCTAGACGAAGAAAAGCTTTGTTTCTCAACTCATTTACAATAGACCATGTTTCTTTAGCAACATTACCAGAATTGAAATGAGGCACCCGAAATGAGGCAACCCCGTGGGGGGTTGGTAAGGGGGTATGGGTGGGGGTTAAACATTTTAAAAAATAACCCCAAAATTACAGTAGCTAGCGAAACGCGGTTTTCAATTTAAGATTAGGAATAATATTTGCAACAAAATTTGTAATAACATCAAAATCAGTCAAAGACGCAAATTCCTTTACTTTGAAACTAAAAGAACTGCCTACCAACTTTTTATTAATATATTTTATTTTTTTTGTAAACCTCGAAACAAATGAGATAATGGACTTACTCTATCGTTGGTCACCCTGTACAATGAATGACAATGTAAGTTTTAGGGCAGTATCGAACATTAGTTTAAAGAATATAAAAATTGCATTGTACGCCTCTGGCATTTTTATAGTTTAGATATTATTTAAAGAACTGAAAGACAGGTACTCTGTCTCTTTGCTCTTTCAGTCACTTTACACTTCACTCTCTTTTCCTCTTTTACTTTTTACTCTTCGACACATTCTTATTTTTCTTCGGACAATCTACAGTTTTCCTCAGGGTTACTATTGTACTTATTTCATCATAATTAAAGTTAATTTATATTAAAAAAACAGTGGTACAATGATTCCACACCCGAAAAGACCCTCAACAAGATGGCCTTACGAGAAAAAAACAGGAAACTGGTCCTGGAGAATACCGTTGGTAAGTGGAATTTGTATATCTATTTAGATTTTGTGTCGAGCATAGACTTATTTATTTTAAGTCTATGGTTTCGAGCGTTTTATACAGGGTTGTTCACCACATACGACACGGAGTATTGTAGTTAAACTATTAGCTTTTTATAAATTGTAAGTTTTGGGTTCGTTGAAGGACTATTAGAGCTACAATTTAAAAATATTTTTATAAGATACAGAGTGGCCCAAATAAATAAAAAATATCAAAGTTGTATTTTTTTAAATGGAGCTCCCTGTATTTTATTATTACATCTTTAGTTTCTACGACTAAAATAAAGGTAAATCTGATTAAGGTTTATCATACTTAAACCTTACTGTTTTAGAAATATTTTCAATTTTTTGAAATTGCACTAAAAATTTTAAGGATTAATTTCTCCAAGGGTATCATAGCTTTTAACACTAAATATTTACTGAAGTTTATTTATTGATCAGTTATTGTGTTTCAGCAATAAAAGTAATACTATCTCTTATAGAATGTCCAAAAATTATTTTAAATTGTTTCTAGCTTTAAACGGCAATACCTTGTTTAATTTATACGGAACACCCTGTATATTTTCGGACAATCAAATGCACAATTTAATTGTCTATGAAATTGTATTGTGGCATTTTTTACCTATTCCTTTAAGTTTTCGTAAAAAATGCATTTTCTTATAATTTAGACCTCATTTATCAATATATCCATAAAATATTGACATTTTAGATTGTTTTTAAAGCAACAAATGTACTAAATGTACAGGTGCTAAAAACTATAATATTACTAGCCTGTTTGTATACAAAAAGAAAACTATTTAAATCTTTATGGATATCTTTTAAAAGAGTATACCATTAATTAAATATACCACCATTATTTCCGCCCAAATATTAATATTTAGGCGGAATTAATTAATTAACTACATACTAATTGTGTTAGTTAATAAGTTATTCTCTAAATTGATTTGAATCTGGAATCAATATAATAATAAGTTATGAAAATGAACGTCTCTGTTGTTATAAATAAGCATTCGTCAAAAAATGAAATAAAATTTTCAATGTGTTACTTTTTACCACACTGTCTAATACACAGACAAAATTCAGTTTTTTAGTATTTGGAAGCAATTATTATTAATCAACGCAAACAGTCAATTAATGTAGTTTGAATACTGGAATCATATTAATTGATCCTGTTTAACAAATATTTAAACAGTTTTTATTTTTTAATGTAATAACCGAACTATGTATATGGACAATATTAGTATCTGTACTCTTTAAAAATTTGGTACATCTTTAAAAATTATCTAAAATGTCAATATTCCATGGGTATATTGATAAATGAGGTCTAGATTATAAGAAAATACATTTTCTACGAAGACTTGAAAAGATAGGTAAAAAATGGTATGATACAATAATTTTATAGATAATTAAATTGTGGATCTCACTCTCGTAAAATTACAGGGTGCTCCATTTAAATTAAACAAGTTACTATAGTTTAAAGCTAGTAATTATTTTGAAATAAATTTTTAGACACTCTGTATAAGGTAGTATAATGTTTATTATTGCCTATCCAAACCAAACACAAAATTTAGTAAATAGAAATACTTCGGTACAATATTTGGTTTTAAAAACTTAAATACGCCTAGAGAAATAAAACATTAAAATTTTGTACTGTATTTTTACAAAAACCTAAATATTTCAAAAACGGTAAGATTAAAATGCGGTAAATCTTAATCAAATTTACCTTTATTTTAATCGTAGAAGTCAAAAATGTAATAATATACAGGATGTTATTTTTTAAAAAATACAACTTTTATATTTTTTATTTATTTGGCACACTCTGTATCTTGTAAAAATGTTTTTAAATTGTAGCTCTAATAGTCCTTCAACGAACCCAAAAGTTATAATTTGTAAAAATCTGATCGTTTAGCTACAATACTCCGTGTCATATGTGGTGAACAATCCTTCCACTAGCAGATACTGCTTTATTTTTCATGATAAAATAATGAATACTCTTACTTATTAAACTATTGTAGGTAAATTTAAGTAAACTGTTATAAATCTAAATGATAATAATGTCCATAAACTAATGTCGATTTTGAAAATACTTCTAAGTTCGTAATCTGAGCAAGATAAGTCTAGGAAACCCTAATATAGTTTAAAAGAACATTTGAATCTCCTTCGATTTATTTTAAAAATACAGGCTGTTGAATTTGAAATAACGAACTTTTTACATAAAATATATACTTCTTAAAATAGATCAGCAATTTTTGGTACTCCTGTATAAATTTAAGGAAGCAATAACAGTTTTCAGTAAAGTTTATTTCCTACCTTTGAACTCAGCACAAGAATTAATTCTAAAAAGTAATGTACAGGGTATTAATAACCTGTTCTATTGTAGTATGCATATTTAAATATCTCAAAAACCAAAGGTTTAAAATATATTTAACCCTTATAATATAGGTCTTTTTATGGACCATGTCTTTTTTTGGACCATTCTACTACTTCCTATAGAAGTTAAAATATTTTCCTGAAATACATCACATACTTTAGATATAGACTTCAACAAAATTTTAAATTTTTTCAGATGCCCGACAGAGCAAGAAGGTGAGAAGGAAAATCTCCAGAGGAAAACCGCAGCAGATGATACAGGACGATCAGAGGGAGAAACCTGGTCCGAAAGGTAGACGTTGAAGAATGAAGAAGGTCAAGCCAAAGGAGACTATTAAGATTACCGGACTGGACCTTCTTCACACAGAAACTTTACTCAGCACGTCAGTAGAAGATATTGGAAAGAAACTGCGCCCTGCTCCGGGCTGTGTCGACCAGCAGCTGACCACTTTGAGTTCCGACGTGATCACTTACAACGAGTTAGACATTCCGCTTGAACCGGCAGCTACGCCATGCGGCTTGCAAATGTTACTGGACATGTTCAGTGTTCAATATATGCAGACGATTGCTCAAATTGAAGGGAAAAAGATCGCATCAAGAAGCTGAACAGCAGTGCTGCTCAGTTGGAGAAGCAAATCAAAGTCCTTATTGATGATAGCGTTGCCTTACTTAAACCACGTATGAGCGAGCTAGGTATCAACACAAACTCCCCTGTCAATTGATTGGCCAAAGCTAAAGAAATAGTCTGTAGTATTTTGTGGGTGTAATTGGGAAAGCAGTATTTAAGCCGGCCGCCAAGAGGAAAACCAGTCGCCGCGCCGTAGGGACAAACACGATGGTGAACTTAAAATTGATGATACCATAAGATGGATATTCGAATATCTGCCCGAAATAAAATTGTCATTAGAGAACAATATTCTTTGTGATTATGACACCAGAAACTACGAAAGTATGAAATTGCTTTGTGATATATAAAGAGCTACCGATAGTGTTGTGGCTTTGGAAAAAGGAACTTCACTGCCAGCTTAAAGATTAAACGAATACCCATCTCGTGGTCTCCCTTTTTGTTCTCCTCCTTCCCGCAGTTTTTGCCCGCTGAATTTCCGGATAACCGACAGAAACTTGAGTGACATCGGTACCATCATGCACGTCTCTGAAATGTCGCCTTTGAAAGGTTCAGTCTCCTGGATCGGCAAGCCTGTATCCTATTATCTGCACATAATATATAGGAGGAAGCAAGCTGGAAAGGTTAGGTTAAGAAGTGGTCACCTTACACAAGGTCGGACAAGAGCGCAAACAAAATCGAGTCTTGATGTCCAGTAGACAGCATCAAGCTCCCGCCAAAATATCCCGGCAATCCCGAGAGTACAGAACGAGAGCCCAGGAGTGGACTGAAGTGCCTGACATAGCCAAAATCGAGGAGCAAAACCCCGAGATCATGGCGCAGAGAATTTTGGAAATAAGAAGAAGAATCGAGGCCAGAAACTTGTCGGTTATGTCTAACAAAGCTCCTCAGTATCCGAATAAAAGCTTGGCTTCAAACGCTTCCGCCGATTCAAACGCTTCCAATAGTACTCCGAATCCAAACAAGAAGCACCAAGAGACACCGAGGATCAATTTCGAGGACCGTCTCAAGAGACCAGAAAGGGGGTCAATTCTACACACCTCTTCCAAGGGCAGACATGAAGCCATACCAAAATCCTGGCTAAAATAGCTCAAAATGAGAAAAATCCTGCTAAAATAGCTCAAAATGAATATCTTAAAATCACAGCAATTGCATTCTATTTAGGCAATCGATGATGCTAGTAATGAAACAGCCCAAATGACTTCAGGATTTTTATACTGGTCATTAGCAACATTTGCTTTCAAGGTATATCTGTAGATAAAACATTAATTTGGTAGTAACAGAATTTTGTTTCTGTACATGAAATTATACAATGTCTGTATCTGGAGAAATAGAAAGGATACTGGAAGTCTCCAATCAGTTCCTAACCAACGTTGCGGTGGATATTAGGGATATTCAGTTAAACGCCATTTTGAACACAGGAACTATTGTTAATAATAACATTCCTCAAAGACCAGAAAGGGTCAATTCTACACGCCTCTTCCAAGAGCAGACATGAAGCCCTACCAAAATCCTGGCTAAAATTGCCCAAAATGAGAAGATTGACCTGATCATTTTAGGAAAGCAGATACAAAGAAATTTAATAGAGTATCTTAAAATCACAGCAATTGCATTCTATTTAGGCAATCGATGATGCTAGTAATGAAACAGCCCAAATGACTTCAGGATTTTTAGACTGGTCATTAGCAACATTTGCCTCCAAGGTATATATGTAGACTAAACATTAATTTGGTAGTAACAGAATTTTGTTTCGGTACATGAAATTATACAATGTCTGTATCTGGAGAAATAGAAAGGATACTGGAAGTCTCCAATCAGTTCCTAACCAACATTGCGGTGGATATTAGGGATATTCAGTTAAACGCCATTTTAAACACAGGAACTATTGTTAATAATAACATTCCTCAAAGACCAGAAAGGGTCAATTCTACACGCCTCTTCCAAGGGCAGACATGAAGCCCTACCAAAATCCTGGCTAAAACAGCCCAAAATGAGAACATTGACCTGATAGGAAAGCAGATATAACGAAATTTAGTAGAACATCTTAAAATCACAGCAATTGCATTCTATTTAGGCAATCGATGCTGATAGTAATCAAACAGCCCAAATGACTTCAGGATTTTTAGACTGATCATTAGCAACATTTGCCTCCAAGGTATATCTGTAGACTAAACATTAATTTGGTAGTAACAGAATTTTGTTTGTATAGATAGAGAAAGGAGAAAAAGATGTTACAGTAACAAGAGACATCGATGGAGGGCATCAAGTTGTTACATTAAAGCTTCCAGCCATTGTTAGTGCCGATTTAAGACTGAATGAACCCAGATATGCTACTTTACCAAATATGACGGTAAATAATTTAGGAAATATCAAAACAATTCCCTGTGACCTATGTAGTCTTTTAGAAAGCTAAAAAGAAGCCCATACAAAAATTAAGTCCATCAATTTACATCAATTTCGAGGACCGTCTCAAGAATATATATATTTATGAATAGCATTATATGAACTAAACGAAGCCTATCCCACTGTGCCCAAACCAACAAACCCACCTAGATTCCCGTATAACTAGGGTATTCCCGTACTTCACATGCCAACAATGCCTGTTCAGCAGCAAGAGAACTATTGTTAACAATAACATTCCTCAAAGACCAGAAAGGGTCAATTCTACACGCCTCTTCCAAGGGCAGACATGAAGCCCTACCAAAATCCTGGCTAAAATAGCCCAAAATGAGAAGATTGACCTGATCATTTTAGGAAAGCAGATACAAAGAAATTTAATAGAACATTTTAAAATCACAGCAATTGCATTCTATTTAGGCAATCGATGATGATAGTAATCAAACAGCCCAAATGACTTCAGGATTTTTAGACTGATCATTAGCAACATTTGCTTCCAAGGTATATCTGTAGACTAAACATTAATTTGGTAGTAACAGAATTTTGTTTCTATAGATAGAGAAAGGAGAAAAAGATGTTACAGTAACAAGAGACATCGATGGAGGGCATCAAGTTGTTACATTAAAGCTTCCAGCCATTGTTAGTGCCGATTTAAGACTGAATGAACCCAGATATGCTACTTTACCAAATATAACGGTAAATAATTTAGGAAATATCAAAACAATTCCCTGTGACCTATGTAGTCTTTTAGAAAGCTAAAAAGAAGCCCATACAAAAATTAAGTCCATCAATTTACATCAATTTCGAGGACCGTCTCAAGAGTATATATATTTATGAATAGCATTATATGAACTAAACGAAGCCCATCCCACTGTGCCCAAACCAACAAACCCACCTAGATTCCCGTATAATTAGGGTATTCCCGTACCCCACATGCCAACAATGCCTGTTCAGCAGCAAGAACTATTGTTAACAATAACATTCCTCAAAGACCAGAAAGGGTCAATTCTACACGCCTCTTCCAAGGGCAGACATGAAGCCCTATCAAAATCCTGGCTAAAATAGCCCAAAATGAGAAGATTGACCTGATCATTTTAGGAAAGCAGATACATGGAAATTTAATAGAACATTTTAAAATCACAGCAATTGCATTCTATTTAGGCAATCGTTGATGATAGTAATCAAACAGCCCAAATGACTTCAGGATTTTTAGACTGATCATTAGCAACATTTGCTTCCAAGGTATATCTGTAGACTAAACATTAATTTGGTAGTAACAGAATTTTGTTTCTATAGTGCCCAAACCAACAAACCCACCTAGATTCCCGTATAACTAGGGTATTCCCGTACCCCACATGCCAACAATGCCTGTTCAGCAGCAAGAACTATTGTTAACAATAACATTCCTCAAAGACCAGAAAGGGTCAATTCTACACGCCTCTTCCAAGGGCGAATAGTACTCATAGAGGCAGTGGACGAGCGATGCAGTTTCGTGCCTGTGGCTTAGCAACTCGAATTCTACCGCCGCCTATTAAGAAAGAAGCAGAAGTTTTACGAAAGACGACAGACTTTTATACAGCAGAGCAACATTTGTCAGTATCCTAACCAACCGCCTAGTACTGCTACTCATCAGGTACCTAAGGATCCACACCACCACAACCAAGAGGCGGTTAGATCCAGAAAATGCATCGAAGAAGAAGTAGATGTTGTGGAGGAGGAAGGAGAAGAAGCAAAATGGCGGGACAAGCTCAGTTCCGGTTTCGATAGACTGGCATCTTTTGCCTCCATCGACTTGGACAAAAGACGCCGCTCCACAGATGGCACTGGCAGCTGCAACACATCTCCTGACTCCGGCATTGGCCACGGTGTTGGCGACACTCACACAGTCGTCCCCCCAAGCAGCGCCTCATACTACATCCCATGTCTGGCATTTTTAAAATGCCGGTCAGCAAATTCTATCTGGACTCTCCTTGACCAAGGTCTGGACGAGACTGGACACCCTTACAACATCCATTTTAGTCCCGAACCCACCAAGAGTTCCACCAGGTTCAATCCAGCCTGCATGAAGTATCAGAGAAAACACCAAAGTTTTAAAATATACAATATAAAAGAAATGCAAGATTTTAAGACTGAATGTACATGTTCATTGTTGGTGTCATCTAAATGTGAAGTTATGTAAAAAAACCTTTACACTGAATATTTTTGGATGCAAATCCTCGATACATTATCGTGAATAAAAATGTTTGATATTAATTGTCAAAATTTAAATTTAGTTACATTTCCTTTTTGTATCCCCAGTACTTCCTCACATTATAGTTGACAGGCGCTATACTCGCTTGTGATCTGCCGGAGTGGTACCATTGAAAACTTTATTGAAAAGAATTGTGTGAACATCCCATCTTAAACATGTATTTTGTGGGTGTAATTGAGAAAGCAGTATTTAAGCCGGCCGGCAAGAGAAGGACCAGTCGTTGTAGGGACAGACACGATTTAGAGAGACACACAATTTCAAGCACATGAAATTGTTGAAACCATAAGATAGGTATGCGAAGATCTGCCCGAACTGAACTTCCATTATCCATTAGAGAACAATACTCTTTGTGATTATGACACCAGCAGGAACGAGAGTATGAAATCGCTCTGTGATTCAGAAAAGGCAACGAAGAAGAAATAGATGTTGTCGAGGAGGAAGGAAAATAAGCAAAAAGGCAGGACAAGTTCAGTTCCGGTTCCGATAGACTACTAGCTTTCGCCTCTACCGACTTAGACAAAAGATGCCGATCCGCAGATGGCACTGACAGCTGCAACACGTCAGCAACATGACTCGTTTCTGCTCTTTACTATTTTTTAAGACGATTTCACCCGGTTTGGAATAGGCGACATGTTTCATTTTCACAGGAAACATGGGGCTACGTGTAAGGATAACGATGCGACCATTGACTGATTTTTGCGAAAATGTAGACTTGTCCCCTTTCTACAATCAGCATTTCAGTTAACAAATTTTACAAGCGAATATCTTACGCGTGCATACTTCCCGTCGTGACGACGAGACGTCAAATTCAATCGAATTTTCAAGGAACGCCCTTTCAGAAGATTTGCGAACGTGTAAAAGCAAAAGTACTTTTCTCTCTGATCCTTTCGAGTTTCGAGTTCGTCATCGTGCTTAATAGCACGCGAAATCCCCATGACGTACGAATCAGAAATCTTCGTCTATGCAAACACAAACTCGATCTCGACAAATCGAGTTATCCGAACAGCTTGCTTTTACACTAGATCGATGCACAGTGGGCCGAAACCGTCATTAATATTGCAGCAATGTGAAAAGTCATTACGTAACACTGGTCGACAAAGTTTTTTCTAACATGGACCAAAAAACGTTTTTATGTCTATTTTTATTTTTGTTGCCTAATTACATAAGTACCGTATGATCGAGAAAAAACGGCGTCAAAGGCTGCTTAGGAATGACTATCGATGCTATTTTTGACGAGATAGAACTCTAGACGTCAGTTACTGAGAATTGACATAAAATTTGTCAAAAATTAATACCTTATATAGAAAAACCAGAAAAGAATAGAAAGTTTCCAGATACACATATCTATTTCCAAAAAATTGTTTTTTCAAATGTTTCGATCTGCACCAGTTCTACTCAATAAAAAATCGATATTAAATCATCCTCAATGCAGTAAACGCCTTTTTCAAAATAAAGAAGAGTAAGGCCAGTAAGACTCTAACCTAACTAAATCTCGTCGTCCGACAAGCCCCCGACCCCTCCGACCGAGACATTTAGACAAAATTTTTGATTATTGTGCTGTTAAAATGTACGGATTAGCCTTTTATTATTGTTTCATACACACTCGACCGTTCAGATTTACTAATATTGCATTGATTGTAGCTGTAAATAAAAATGTGTGTTTAATACCAGTAAATAATCCGTTAGTCGATGAAAAAAGTATCGTGTTTATCGACAAAATTAATTGTAGGCTTTTAAATTTTGCTGAATATGGTCATATTTTACAATATTCAACTCATAATTGTTGATACTTCTGGTGGATTATATTCAATTTATACATATGTAAATTATAAACAAACCAAATTGAAGTACTAGAAACAATAAGGTGAGACAGTAATTTTTACGAAATCCCTGTATTATTAATTCTTTACTTATAGAGTATCTGTTCCTGTGTATGCCCAAGTTTCTGTTTTCCAAGAAGCATATTAATTAAATGAACAAAACTGTGTCCAAGAAATACTCTATTGCATAGAGGATTTAATGAAAACAAAATTGGTGATGCTGTAATCACAAAGTTCCATGCAGGAATCAATGGTTATTGCTAAAATATGTTATTGGTGTATTGTCAATTTTATTTACTTATATATTACGTTATTTAATCTCAATAATTTTAGGCTGGTAAGTCATTTATTTACATACATAACTTTTAACGTAACTACTGGTAGATTGTAGGAAATAATATACACTTTGGAACAATTGAAGTAAATAAATGAATTAATATAATACATACATCAAGAAGTAATGTATAATTTCGGAAAAAGCTGTATTAATCACTTTCGAAAATAATTGTTTTTTAGTAAGTCGCAGAACTTAGACAAATAATTTAGGTTTGTTATTAAATTAAATGTAATAAGTACAGATTTAGACTCTTGAACCAGGCATAGTATATTGATTAGTAGGGTCCACAGTAAAAAATATTTTGTAATACCATTCGAAAGAAAATACAGACCTATATTATACTGTTTATAAAGTGAGTTTCATTGTAACATAACTTAAGAAAACAATTAATATGCATATGTCAATCATAAGAATAGAATCTATTAATTTAATGAACTATACCCATAGTACTCGGCAAACAGTAAACCAAACCAAAGAAACTAAGACTTACAGTGTTAGATCATGTAGTATATAAGTATTTTAATTTTATCATTTAATAAATAAATACAATATAAAATTTAAAATGCCAATTTTTTTTATTTTAAAACAAGTGATTTATATATGTATAAACAATTTACAATTCTTTATCATTTAATTTATTGCTCACATCTTCCGGGATTATAAGGCTAATATTTTGCTGCTTATAGTGCCTATATCTCAAAAAAAATTAATTAGATTAATTAATGATTAAGTATCCCTGTATTTTTAAATGTTGAATCTTATGGACTGAAAAAACTGCTGATGATATTTCTACTTTCACTGACTGAAGATGCAGAAACCTAGAAGAAATTCAAAAACAAATTGTACAAACATAACGTATGACTATACATTTCGGTAAGTCAATATCGACAAAGCTTTGATTACAGCATCACCTATTTGGTTTTCTTTAAATCCTCTATACAATAGACTATTTCTTTGACATAGTTTTGTTCATTTAATTTGTTTTTAGAGGTTATACACAGGGGTAGATATTCTATAAGTAAAAAAGTAATGTATAAGTAATAATACAGATTCTTAAAAATATCTCACCTTACTGTTTCTAGTACTTCAATTTAGTGTTTTTATGTTTTATACATGTATAAAATTGAACATCATCCACCAGAAGTATCAACAATTATGAATTGAATATTACAAAATATGACCATATTAAGCAAAATTTAAAGGCCTACAATTAACTTTGTTGATAAACACGATACTTCTTCCATGAACTAACGGGTTATTACTAGCAATTGAACACACATATTGGTTTACAGCTACAGTATTAGTAAATCTGAAGGGTCTAGTCTGTATTAGACAATTACAAAAGGATAATCCATACATTTTAACAGTAGAATAATCCAATTTTTGTTAACTCTAGATCATAGATAAAAGACTTATACTATTAAATAGATAGGCAACTTATAATACATTTCAATTTTATTATACAAGGGCGCCTCTAGTAGACGGAGGAAGAAATACTAATGGAAGAGAGGGGTGCGGGGAAGGGGGGGTAGTTTTAGTTAATTTAAAATATATTTAGACATACATGTAAGAACACTTTGTGTGCTTTTAATTAGGTCGAACATATTATAAACGATAAATCAACTGAATTAAAAGCATACAAAGTGTTCTTATATGTCGGATATTAATTAAAAAATATATTAAAAATACTAGAAATAGTATATATTAAGTTGTTACAGTTATAATTTAATCTTTGGCGGTTTTCAGCAAATAGCAGGCAGTTTTACATAATTTTCCTCCCTTTGAAGTGAATTGGAAACGGCTAGGTATATAATTTTGGTGTAGGCAAGATTCCCAGTTTGTTTCTGTTTGGGACCTGAAATAATAAAAACAAATTAAATCAGATGTAATCATCTGCTGATCATGCTAATATAAAACGCGCGTCCTTAATTCCTTACATGCACCGTAAAAAAATTTAAATAACTGCTCTGCAAGTAGCATTTATTAGCAGTACTAATTTAAAAAATCTATAACTGTAAGTAGATATGTTTAATTTACTTACCATTGTATCCTTCGGAAACCAGGAGTACAACAATTAAACTCCATGATAAAAAATAATTAAAAGTTATTACAAAACACAAATTGTCCCACCATTTTTAAAAAACATTGTCTAAAACAGAATACTGGCAAAAAATCTGAAGGAATTTAATTTTACAATAATTCGACAAATCAAAACGAAATCAAACCGTAAAATCACAACAAAAGCGTCTCTGAGTGACAGTTAAAAATCAAATTTTATTATTGTCAGATATTGACATTTGCATTGTTAATATTGACAGTTTTAATATTTTGCGCCTCTGCATCTTGGAGGAAAAACTATTTTTAATGAACTGTCATTTCCATTTAAGTTTCCCAGCCATGCTCTAGATGTTATCGAAATGCCTGGGACTGGGACGGGCGATAGTTAGGTTAGAGCCTTTTTGATTTTTCTCTTCTTTACTTTTAAAGACGCATTCTGCATTAATTACGATTTACTGGATTTACCTAATATAGATTTTTTATTAATTAGAACTGGTATAGTTCAAATTATCAGAAAAATATATTTTTGGATATAGATTTCTGTATCCGGAAACTTACTATTATCTTCTAGATTTTCTACATATAGTATTAATTTTAATTAAAATTTAATTTTTTTGAAGATCTTTAAAGTGAAAAGAAGAAGAATTTTAATTAACTAAAAAAATCAAAATAAAGTTAATTAACTTTGAGCAGAGTTCGACCTCGTCAAAAATAGCATCGATAGTCATTCCCCAGCCGCCTTTGACGCCGTTTTTTCTCGATCATACGGTATTTGCAATATGGCCCCATCACATCACATTTTTATTTAGCTACTTGTATAAGGGCAGTACGACCAGGGTTCGGAAAACTACATGTCACTTTTAAAAACTACATAAACTACATTACATGTAGTTAATGTAGTTTATGGAGAGGGTGTAGTTTATGTAACTTATGTATGTAACCTTCAAAAATCAAAGGTTTGAGGTGAGGTTATAATAAGTTGAAGCTTTAAAAACAAATAATGTATTTAAGAAAACAGAATAAATATGGCTTTAAATATAATATTTACATATTATCTCTATTACACCTCATACAAAGGAAAATTATTCATAATATCAATACATAGTTTATTAACGTAGTTTTCATGTAGTTAATGAACGGGAAAAGACGTAGTTTTTGAAGAAAATCTACACGTAGTTAATGAGGTAAATTACGTCTTAATAAACTACTTCCGAACCCTGAGTACGACCCTTATTTTTAAAAAGACCTTTTTTTAAAGAAGTTTTTCACAAACTAACCATCCCAGAGCAACAACTTTAATTATAAGTTGAATAAAAGAGACCGTACAGGGTGTCCCATTTTAGTTGAAATCATAGGGTATCTCCTTTTTTAGTGAAGTTAGAAGGGTGCGGGGTTTGCACAAACCTGCCCCACTTTTTTGTCAAACGGAAGACGCTGTATACAAAATTTTCATAGCGCTCTTCGTTTCTGAGCTACAGGGTCTTTTTGAAAATTTTGCAATTTAGGATATCCCCGTATCTCCGTTATTGTGGATGATATCGAGATTCTTGTAGAACTTTTTACGTAGAACACAGTGGCGTAGTCGGATTTTCTACGCGGAAAAAATATTTTTGAAAATATGAACTAAAGTTATGTTTTTTCAAATGGAACACCCTGTATATTTATAAATCATATGATCCGTCTTGCTATGAGCTTCTGAAAAATATATATCACTCTATATTTATTTTCACTTTTTACTTTGCTTTAAAATATATCATTTTTTTTATTAGTAGGCCGTGATAAATAACACAGAATCAAAATGGTATTTACAAAAATAGTCATACACACATCAAAATTTTATTTGGGATTGATATGTTTTACTTTTGAACTGTTACCACTGCATTTCTGAATATATCTTTCTCTCTTTATAACGGAATTTATTATAACAGGATGAGTTTGCAAATATCTAAAAGCTTGCAGTATTAAAGCATTTTCCAGGTGTTTGACATTGTTGTAGTTTGTAGAATCCCCAAAATCAGAAATCAAAAACGAACAAATCCGGGAATCAGAGAGGCCATCATATGGTTCAAATTCATTGATTTGAGAAATAATAATTTAACAAAATTCTAACATTTTCAAAGTTGTTAGGGAAAGCCCCATCTTCTTCCCCTAGGAGATGCAAGACCTTGTCGTTGGTGGGGAAGCTCCTGGTCAGGTGCTGGGAGGAATCCTCCCTAGCACTTGGCTTGGTCTAAGAAGCATCTCACTCATCGTCTTGTCCCTGACTGTAGTGTCGTGGCCAGGGAATTGCACCAAGACATATAACGATACCGGGCGGAGCTACGGACAGCCTCAACCTTGGGGCATCGGGGGGCACCCCATTGTATTTTACCCCTTACTTCTACATGCGGGGCTCTGTAGAAGTGGACCGACCGGCCCTAGCGACTCATGGGAACACTATAAGATCTGGTAATAATAGTAATAAAAACATCACCGGTGAAGCTGTGGGGAAACCCCCTAGCGACACTGGGAACAGTAACAATGAAAGTTCCAAGGGGCCAAACCCAAAGAGAACTACAGGAGAGGTGGCTGACACTTGCGTGAGACCATCCCCCACAAGTGGCATACAAGCTACCACCTCCTCCAAGAGTCGGGAGCCTACCTCCTACCTCTAAACCCAACAGGCGACACAAGCTACCGTTTCGTCTACCCGGCCTGGGTCGTAGCTCCTCGACTGTTAAGGACACGGGTCTCCGTAGGAAGTCCTGGGACAGTATGATGAGTTATAACTCAAGAAAGGGGGATACAATAGATCTCTAAGGTCGCAGAGATTAACCCCCCTCCCACTTATTCTAAAACTTCTAAAGCCCCATCTTGCTGAAAGTATCTATATTTCACGTAAATTAGCTAAAGGAATATCTAATAGTTCCGGTACGATAACTTCCAAGATTTACAAATAGCGGTAAAGAGTTTAGCTTTCTTAATATACAGGGTGGTTCAAATCGTATTCCGGAAACTTTGGCAGCATATTCTGCAGATAAAAATAAGTAAAAAAGTTTGTATAAATGTATGTTCTAAAATGCTTAGTTTCGGAGATACAGAGTGTAGAAGTTTCATTT